TGCTTTCAGGTAAACCTGCAGTTTTGCGGCAAGTAATTCAGACCCTGGGTCTTTGTTGGAGCAGACGGGAGTGTCTGGCTCAGCAAGACAGGGTGCTGGGACCCCGAGCTGTCAGGGAAGGCAGGGGTAGAAGTAGTCTTGGCACATCATGTGGCAGCTCCCAGGGGGGTTTCTGTGATCCAACCCGTCACATTGTGCTCAATGACTTTATGCAATTTCTGTTTCAAAATTATGACCATTGCCATTTTAACTGTGACAAATTCAGAGTAATGAAGATAAGTACGTGTGTAAATGTTAACAAGATCAAAGACTAAATTATTAACAGGCATCTCCATGCTATTTCACTTCTAAGCTGACAGCCACCACTGCAGACTTAGCCCTGACCCTGCAAAGCCTCACACACATACTTAACTGTAATAGTGAAACTGCTTATATGCCCATAGTAAATAAAATATTTCAGATGAGGTGTACACTCCTGAAAACAGAGAATTTTAAAATCTGGACAAAACCTTAGCTAATGACAAAGACTGAACTACTATACATTCAAATTGTTTTAAGCCACTCCATCACAATAAATAGTTTTTTGTAAAGAAAAATGAACTAATCTTATTTATTTCCTCCATCTCCTTCTTTTCTAACACCATCAAGATATGAGGGGGAGTATTCGTATCTCACATAACTCTAGTTAGCAAGAATAAAACCTTTACGCTAGAAATACTCGGACGTTATAACACTAGAAATGTATAACTGCCTTTAAAAAAAAGTTCAAAATACCTGCAATGAAAAAACAAAGTCTTTGGAGTCTCCTGGTATAAGCTGCTGATTGACTACTGCTTCAATAGGTGTTGAACATCCAGAGTATCTCACAGTAGGCAATCAGCATCCAGCAGGATTGGACCCATAGTTTGTATGTCCTTAGAATACACACACAGGAGAAATTCCCCCGTTCAATATTCTTGAGGACTGGCAAGTGGCCATTTTTCCTTCCAAATACAGGAAACTGGATAAGTAGGCTAGATTTATCCCCAGTGTAACATTTTTGAAGGCAATAAATGAATGGATTTGTCTCAGTGACTTTAAAATAGTTTAAAGATTTTCTCCACAGTGACTATTAAAGTGATAAAATGGGGGAACCACCCCTATATTTCTGAAATTTCTCTACTTCCAAGATTTTAATACATGAGCTCCAGTGTTTTCTCTTTGTTTAATATGTTCTGAGATACTTTTGCTTTATGCCACGATCCCCAAGTTATACCGGTGTTTGTTAAAACAATTTTATTATTATTCATTGGTAATGAATAATCACTTTTTAGATGTGTATCTCGTCTTTCTGTGACTTTTGTTGTAGCAGGGATTGGTCTACAATGCTTAACTGTTGAGCAGCTTTGTATGTATATGATGATTTTGTAATCCTGTACATTTATTTTTTGAGTAATTGCTATGACAGTAATTATGTCAAAAAGACACCAATAAAAATAAATTGGAAAGCACATTCTGAGTCAGGATAGAATTTAGGTTGAGGGAGGTCATGTTTAACTAACTTGCTAGATTACTTTATAGATCCTACAGTCATGATAAAAGAAAGGCAGGATACATACAACAGATTTTCAGAAAGCTTTTGACACCTTCCATATATCAAGAGATTAATGGCAACAAAGAGTCTGAGAACAGGAAGCAGAACAGTGCACTAGACAAAAGGAAACAAAAAGATAGCTACAAATGGAAGTTTTACAAGTTGAAAATGGGGTTATGAATCCAGGCTCAGTTTTAAAATTTCAGTAACAGTTATTAAACAATTAAATTATTTGGCCAAGATATTGAAAACAAAAATTTCCAAATCTGTAGATAATATTGAAATTAGAATCTGAGTAAAAAATAATTTGCAATTCAACTAGAATAAAAGGGAATGGCATAATTTGAGTGAGTAAGTAGATTGAAAATGCTAAAAAATTTAACATAATTAGTTCGGGAACAAAGAATGAAGAAGCTAGGGAATCTGTGCTAAATAGAACAGCCATTCTACACATTCATTCATAGAGTTGTAGATTATAAAGCCAGAAGGGACCATTGTGATGATCCAGCTTGACCTCCTGTATAACACAGGCCATAGAACTTCTCTGAACTAATTTATTTTGGAATTAGAGCGTATCTTTTAGAAAAGCATCTGGAGATGAAAGGATCAGGAAATGAATTTCAGAGTTATAACAAAAAAATTCATGAAACTCTCAGCCAGGAATACAGCTACAATAAAAGAAGGCAAGCAGAAACTGATTGTATTATCTGAAGAATGATCAATAAGAAAAAGTCTGGTTCCTGTTTTATTGGATAAACCCTTGTTAGACCCCCAAATAGAATTGTGTGTATATAACTGTTTACTGTTCCATACAAATTGATTCTTTTGAGAGGGAGCATCATAGATTTTTAATGCCAAAAGGGACCATTATTATAATTTAGTCTGCTATCTTGCATAATACAGGCCACAGAATTTCACCTACTAATTCCTGCATCAAACAAATCTTGTTAAGTCAGAGCATCTCTCTTATCACAATCTCAAGAAAATCAGTTATGGAAAGGCTTAATGAGTTTGAATGATTTCCATTTGAAAAGACAAGAGAAACTACTCACACTATTGAACAGTGTCAAAAATTAGGATACAGCCCAAGAGCTAGGATTAAAAAGGGAATTATTCTTATGCTACCAGTATTTAATGCAGAGGATACTAATAAACACAGAATGAGTTTCCAAAATGACTAAAGGCAATTTAAGCAAAAGTTATAGAATAGAGTTTGGTTGACTTATAGAGAAAACTGAGGCAAGGTGACGGTGAATAAAAAGGAAAGTTGAATGGAGATCAACCCAAAATGGGTAGTCTTGCTAGGCCAGACTGCCTCTCTTTTTTGTTAAAGGGTTATATTTTTCTGACATGGAATATTCCCTGATGTTCCCATAAACATTAATTTATGGAACTATATGCACATACATTTCACAGATTCACTCTACCCTACTTCTCAAAATGTTTATCAACCACCTTCTCTAGCCTCTTAATCCTTTATAACCATCTCTCCATCCCATGTCCACTGTCTTAAACAATTAGGACAGCACACGGTCAATATAATCTGTGCTTTTCATATATGAATGTCTTTCAAGACAAGTCACTACTGGTCTTTCCTACCTTAAAACTTCCTTGTTTAGTTATGATTGACATGCAAGTATTTTCTGATGCTCTGCTACGTGTTTGCTCTTTTATCACTTGATTGCTTCAGGATGACAAAAGCTGATTACAGAAAGTACAGGTGGAGAATACCCTTCAAGGACTATCAAGGAGCATTTGTACATCAATCTAGGTGTATATCCGGCCCTCATTACCAATTTCTTTTTCTTAATTTCATCCTGTAACTTCAATTACACACGGTACCAGCCTCAACAATCTTTCTCAAATCACATTTAGGGCTTGTCTGCACTTACAGTGCTGCAATGGTGCAGCTGCAGCGCTTAGTGAAAATGCTACCTACGCCAACAGGAGAGCTTCTCCCGTCGGCATAGGTACTCCACCTTCCCGAGAGGTGGTAGCTATGATGATGGGAGCAGCTCTTCCATCAATATAGTGCTATCTACACCAGGAGTTTGGTCAGTATAACTGTGTCACTCACGGCGTGTCCTGATTCACAAAGAAACTTAGGTATGGTGACATTCAACATCACCATGTATAACTTCTAGGTACTCCGAAAATCACTAGGATTCACAAAGCCTGAGTTAGGCACCTAGATCCCTATACAATGAATGTACAGAGAGATGGGTGCCTCAAAAACAGGATTCATGAAAGCCAGCATGCTAGACAACGCCTCCCGTAACCTAGCCAATGGGAGGTGCCATGCCAAGAGGTGTGCTAAGACCTGTCCCTCTCTTTTGGATAGGCACCTAAGTCTGGGCTGCAGGGAGGCTCCTCCTTCTGCATGGGATTCTCAGCTGCAAACCCTCTCCTGGCATTAGGGGGACTTGAACTGGGGGGAAGGGAGCGTTGCTAATAAATAGATGTTTAGAGCACAACTGTGCAAGTGTGTCTTCTGCATTCCAGGTGTGTTCTCCAATGACTGGCCTGAAAGTTATGAAGGAGTTCCTCCTCCTCGCCCTGGCATTTTGTGTAAGCTTCCCCAGAAAGGCCCAGTCTGGTAGGTGAGCTCTGAGCATGCTTACCAGATCGGGTACTGCAGGTGAGTTAAGCAACTGAAAGCCTGTCCTCCCCTGGTTCATGCATTCTCTGGGGCTCAGGCCTCCGGATGCCTGGCATGGGGCTGCAGCACGCATGCGCAGAGGCAGACACATAGGCACTTTGGCTTCTCAATTTTTGCAATAAAATCTCCCTATCTATTTTAGGTGCCTACCGGATTCAGGGGCAACTGAGCAGGGGTTCTGTGAATCCCAGTGGGACATGATTCTGGGATTAAGGCACCTAAAGTGCTAATTAGGCACCCAAGTTCTTTTGTGAATCTAGTCCTTAGGGTGTTATAAGTCAAAACCAACACCTTAAATTTTATCTGGAAACCTACAGTAAAGAAGAACAAATCACTAAGCAAAAGTGTAACATGCTTATGGAAAGATATTCCACTTTATAAGCAGGCCACCACATTCTTCACCAGCTTAATTTTCAAGATGGCATATAAAAGTGAAACCCCATATGTACAATGGAATGCAATGATATAATTTAGTAGTAGTTCTATAGTTTAAGTGCAAGCGTGCAAGACTGACAGTATATTTGTGAAGTGTGCAAGTAATACTTCTCTCAAGTTATGGGGGCAAATTCTACTCTCAGGTTCACATATGCAAATGCACATATGAAAGTCAGTCAAATTCATATATGAAACAGAGCTGAATATTGCCCATTGAAGACAACAATTTGTACTCAAACTTTTAAGAGCCTCTGTCAATATAATTTACTGCAAACAATACATTTTTGTTGCTACACATGAAGTGGCAAAAGTATGCATTTTGCAATTACATACCTTGAAGATGCAATTTCCACTTTGGTTCTTGCCATAGCAGCTGCCCTTTGTGCACCCTCTATGGCTCTATCCACTTTTTCTTTAGTTTTGGTGTTTCTTATTGGTATAAGTTGCTTTCTTATTCCACGGACCAAAACATTATTTTTATATTTTCCCTCTTCCTTTGTGCCATCTGGAAATATGGTGCATCCATATCCATGCCTTTTATTATTTAGCCATTCTCCTTCATATTTCATACCATTTGAACGCTCACTAATACCAAAACCATTGCGCTTGTCATTCTTCCACTCTCCCATGTACGTTTCTGTTGTGGTGGCATCAACATGGTCTTCCATAGGGCAATAATCACAGTCACCATCTCCAAAACTAATCGTAGAGTTGGCATCACTAGAACTAATTCTGCTCATAGCAGCATCACTCCTGACAGAGCTACGTTTGCTAGATATTGATGATTTAGATTCAGATTTTCTAAGTTTTATACTACCAAGAAGGGATCCTCTTCTGAACAAGCCTCCTCTTTTCTTACTACTCATGGCTTCCGGTTCACTGTGAAAATTCAAAACAAACCCACCTCTTGTTCCAGCTGGGCTGTCTGAAGTAATGTCATGCAGAACAGTGCCATTGCTCTGCTCACTACGAAGTGAGACTAGAGATGTTCGGAGGGGTGAACGGATCACAGTTGCCATGCCATAAGGTACACTTTGACGTACACCATATCCGTGCCGCATCCCTCCTGTCCACTGTCCCTGGTATGTACCTTTTAAAAGAATAACCAATGGAAACAACATTTAAGAAGCAATTCAATTACAGAGGAACTGATGCCATCACTATAATAGTATACCTACTGCCAGTTATTTTATCAAATATTTTTGGCAAAATTTCATCAGAAAAGGCAACACATGTTACATGATAAAAAGAATCCTAGAATAGAAAAATATTTTTCTAACTTTTTAAAAATTATTCTGCTGTTTAATAAAAATTTAGTATTTGAAATGCTACCCAGTACTGAGACAACTAAAAATCCAGTAGTGTCCAGTCTGATTTTAATCTGGGTCTCTCAACAAAAAGGCACTCCTAATGTTTTTTTGCACAATGACCCCTTGCACACTAGTGTCAAAATATATTTTAACAGAAAAAAAAAACATTTAATTTTGCTGAGATGCCAGGAATGAAACCGTAGTATATTACCTTTGCCTCTTCTTACTCCTTGTGAAATTTTGGCATTTACATTTTTTGCTGCCAACATATATTTCACTATCATGAATACTGAATAGCTGTGTTCTCTATAAGATCAATAACTTCCCTGTAGGTTGTATTTCATTTCAGACCTTTATTCTATTTGTAGCAACAGAAATACTGTATTATGAGACATCCACAAAGAACCCAGAAAAAGAGCATACATCTTATCCTGCAGTCTGATCATATGCAAAAGTCCCAGTGAAATCAGTGGGAGATCTGCTTAAAAAACAACTGAGTTCAGGTCCAAAGACAACATGTTCAAGGCCTCTATCAGCCATAATGAAATTTAGAACAATGATGACTGACAAGACACGGAAAATAGTTTTGCTTGTAAATTCTGTTTTTATATTCAATTAAATAATTGCATTACTAAATTTGTGACGAGGCTATCAGAACTAAGGCAGAAACTTCAAGTTTCTCTCACTATTCACTTAAATATGAAAAGAATTTGAAGTTACCTCTTATTTGTGCTCATTTGTATGTAGTGAGGACAGGCCAATGGCAGAACAGCAGAGAATTAAGGGATACCATTTTAGCTGTACCTGAATATGTTATGTCACAGTCTTAACACTGATTTTTTTTTAAATGGAAACAGAAAAGGGAGTTGCATAACATTTGAAAAGAGGCAGTAACAGATATCTGTGTGATTGAAGTTGTATTGTCTGGGGTTAAAAAAGTGATTTCAGGTTACTCCCTGGTACATGGTTGTCTCCTTAAGAACATAGGAACTACCATACTGGGTCAAGACCAGTGGTTCACCTAGTTCAATATCCTGCATCTGACGATAGCCAATACCAGATGTGTTAGAGGAAAGTGCAAGAAACCCCACAATAGGCAGATTTGTCCCCCAAGAAGTTCTTGTCCTAATCCTTAAAAGTTAGAGATTAATTTAAACCCTGAAACATGAGGTTCTATCTCACTCTCTCCTCCCTCCACCCACTGCCCAAAACACTAGCATGCACAACTCTGGATATTCTTAGAAAAGTACTAATAAGAAACTTTTAAAATATCCTTGTTTGGTTTTAGTCTGTTAACAATTTAATGTGTTATACAGCTCTTTAGAGAAATATATTTGACATTTTGAAGTCAGAGATTTTCTGTAAATGTTTGCATTTGTCAAATGCCTCAAATTTTAACATCACTTAAAGTTTAATTTGAGTAATTGTTTGAAATTAAATCTCAGTTTTATGTACATAGTCCAGTTTGGTTATGCATCTGTGTGAAAATTACTCATCAATATACAATATTATTACCATTCACCACTTATCATACCTGTCTGAACACACTAATTTAAAAGCATCAGTTTATAAGCTTTGTCACAAAGATTTTTTTAATCAATTTATATTTCATATAATGTTAAATAAGCTCAACAATGTAACTATTTAGTGTTAAAATATTCTAGCAAGTGAAGGTTTTCCTTTCTAACAGATGGCTGCTGACATCAACAGTAAGCAACTTTCTTAGATTCTCTCTTCCTCTCTGTATCCTAGATACCTGCTGAAGCACTGGTTTTTAAGGCTGCTGAATCTAGAAACATGGTTATTTAGAAACACTCAACATATGGAGCAGGGCAAATAAAAAACATGAGCATAATACATGGATGTGGTCTGTAAATAGTTTTAAAAGTACAGGCATTTTTCTTGACACTTGTTACTTTAATAAATATTTTTCCTGGAAATAAATGTATGAATATTCTAGCATAACTGAAGCTATATTTTGCCCCCCACTTCCATCCATGTGATTACAAAAGGTGTACCTTTAGAACCCCGAGGTGAGAATCTGTCTACAGATGTTTTGCTGCTACATATATCAACTGTCTAATTTGTTATGCCAGTAATAACTGTTCCGTTACTTTAAAATAAATACACTTGACTCTCATTTAGACTAGGCCCCATTACATCATGTTGGCATCCCACCACATGGCCTCTTTATATTGCCAGAACAGTGTAGATCAGAATCAGGTCCACTCTATTTAAATTTAAAAAGTTATCATAAATATCAAAGCTAGGATCGTCTGCAATTTTTTTTGATCATACAATATTTTTGTTTTGAAAAGTGAACACAGAAGATCAAAAACATATAACTCAATTATGACGTATGTTTTTCACTTCTTTGTAGGAGAAAATGGAAATGGTTATGATTTGCCCCGGAGAGCATTAAAACCAGGACAATTAATTTACTCTTATGTGCTTATCAGACTCTTCTTTCTACTGGGACAAGGAAATCAAGGCCAGCTCCTTATTAAAAAAAGAAAAGAAAAATTAGCTAACGAAGAAGTGGAATATTCTATAAATCAAACATGGGGGGGGGGGAGGGAGAGAACAAACAAACACCATGCCATGGATATTTCATCTGATTTTGTGTGTGTAGTTTTGCAGTGCAACAATTCTCAAGGACTCAGATATTTGGTTGTAATTAGGCATTAATCAGAAAGGTATCACTCTTTATTATTACTAGGCGGTATCATGTAGAAAAGTGTCCACTCTTGCATTAAGTTTTCCAGTTATATTCAAAATATTTTCCATTTAAAATGTATGCTGAAAGCATACATATACATAAATGTGGAAACAATAGTGTTACATAAATTATAGTTGCATCTATTATTTCCAAATACTGTAATATAATGAAAGGCTAACATATTCAATAAACAACATGATCTACAAAAAACATATAACAGAAAGCTTTTGGTTCCTGTACTATGCACACTCATTCATGCAAGAAACTACATGCCTTTTTTCATGTTCATTTTAACTATAACTGATAGTTCTAATTAGTGCCATTGATAGTGGCTTTAAGGCTACCACTGTAATTACCAAGTGATTTAAAAACTGCATGTGCTTCTCAAAGAAATGAACTACAACTGGGCCACACAGCGAAATAGTTGAATTCAGTACAGTTAAATTCACTAACGGTTTTGGATGGCCTGAAATTGCATTTGTCAGCAAATAACTATTGATCTAAAAAGTTTACCTAGCTCTAATTAAAACCTAAATTTATAACCTTAGTTGAACGTCAGTTTAAAAAGCACATACACACAATGGACTGTATTACGCTGTGGTGCAGATGAAAATCAAAGGAAGTTTTGTATGCAGAGAGAGAGCAGAAAAAGTTTGCTTGTTGCCAGTGTTTGTTATTTCTATACTTATATGTACATGCCTCTCACACTAACACACTTTAAGAGAAAATTATTGTGGAAACTATTTCTGTTTAGATTCTTTTTTTAAAATCACTACAATCTAAGTATCAGTACATACATAAAGTTATTTCATTATGCTAGTGTTCTCCAGGACAGCAAACAATGGCCCGTAATTACAAGCTACTTTAAAAACAATAACAAGCCAGAAAAACTAGCAACACACAAGCTGACTCAGCATAAAACAAGCCCAATTTCTGCTTATTTTGAGCAGCTTTGGTATATGCTCAGTTTGTTTGTAGTAACAATTCAGATTTTTTTCTGAATAGTTTTTTGCAGTTTCTCATTTGCTGTGTTGTTTGTAATGCCTGAAAACTAAGGCCCTGACTCTGCAGACACCTAAGCATATGTGTAACTTAACTCACATGAGTAGTCCCATTAAAATCCACAGGAATGCACATGCTCAAATATACTGACATGTTCTTAAGTGTTTGCAGAATTGGGGCCTTAGTAATAGATTTACATTAATAGAACAAAAATTCTTAAGATAGGATAGTGTGGATTTTTTTATAAAGCTACTGACTTCCAAACTATCTATGAAGACAATTGTCTTCTGAATTACATTCTACTTCATTAAGGGGGAGAAGGGGGACATGGATTCCCACAATTACCCTAAAAAAGAACAGTGTATGTTAATTATTGAGAAACCTATTTCTAACAATAACGAGCATGCTAATTTACTTTAAAAATATGGCTACAATGAATTATACTTGCCATCAGCCCTTCTTAAACTTCTAATCCACCAGAAAACAAACAAACAAAAGAATCCTACAGTGTAGTGAAAGTGAACTAAAACTAGAATTAAATAAATAAAAAAACATGCACGTACCCTCCAGGCAGAGACCAAGCATGAAAACTTTCAGCCCCAAGAGATCACTATGAGCATGTGAAACCACGTTTTTTTAAAATCCCAATATAAAATTAACTATAAAAATCGATCTGTTTTATAAAGCAATGTATTTTAACTTTATTATAAAATTTATTTTATGGTCTCACTAAATTTTGGAATAAAAAGCTTCATTTGTAAGTGTGGGGCTCTACTCCCCCTTAGCACCTGGGCATCCATTCTTTGATGCATCTCTTCCGGGTTTGCCAATACGACAAGTCGCTAATCAAACTTCATGTAGAAACTGATACACAGCATTACTTAAGAGGCCTGAACCAAAGATTTGTTTTTAAGTCACAAGGAAGGCAGATTTTATATATTATCTATTGTTTTGCTAACTTATACTTCTTGCATAGCACTAACACACTTTCACACAAATTTGAACTTGCAAAATGTACATGATAAATGTTAAACTAAATAACATTTCTAAAAGATTTCAGCTCTAAAAAATTAGGCCAGATTCTCTCCTTACATTGGGATAGATCAAATAATTCCATTAGTCACTGCTCTCACTTACACTGATTTTACACTGCTGTAACTCCAAAAGCTACAGCAGTGTAAAATCAGCGTGAGAGCAGAAACAGGCCCATCTGTCTTTTGTGTGGCGCTTGAAATGACACATGTACACTATGATTAAATGAAACTGTGCAACTGCATAAGCTTTACTCGTGAGTCACCTTGCTGAACCTCAACTTGATACCCCATGATATGCTAAATATGATGTCAGAAGTCATGAAATATGGGAGAGTTTTAGAAGGGTTGGGTTTTTTTGTGGGGGTGGGGGTGGGGGGAGGGGAGTTTGTAAGGGAGAGAAACAGCAGCTGGCCTTCTTATTTCAAAACATGATTTGTATTTAGAATTGCATGTGGGTTTTTTTTTAAGTTACAATATTTCTGTGTTAATTAAATAAGCTCATTTTATAAAAATGTTAGGTGGGTCCAAGATTCATTACATCTAATAATGTAGAATCTATTTGGCCACTGTTAGCGTTCTCGTGACTATCAATATTGTTTCCCCATACAAACTCTCAAAAGTGAGTGATCGAGATTTATTTGCCAGTTTTCTCTCTGATAGAATATGTAAGTGTTGCTAAATCAACGGAACACCACCTGTGAAACCTCCAGCAGTTGTACAAAGAACAGGCAAAAACCAATGTTTTCAAGCAATCGCAATTTATTTCTAATGCTTAGGACTCTGCAAACATTTCTACCAGCTGGTGAAGGAAAAACGATAGCCCTGGGAATGTGGAACTTTTAAAAGTGAAACCATGAAACAGCTCATAAGTTTCATCTCCTCTGCATATATCACTCAAATGCAGCGTTTCTAACAGGATAATTAATATTAACCCTCGGTCACCTGCAACAGTGTAACCGACACTTTGTTTTCATTGCCCTAATGAGTGTAAAGCAACGGTAGCTTCCTTTATGAACCTCCCTCCATTCCGCTCTGTGTCACATTAGTACTAGCGGTCCAGCTCTGGGATCGAGGCCTCACTGAACTCTGTTAGCTGGCTGCAGCTTCAACCACTGACAATGGGGAATCTGCTCAGTCTCAGCAGCTGCCCCTTGCAAAAGAGGCACCGCTCCCGCGGTTTCGATGTGGCCCTGCTCGCGCGCGCAATCTATACACAAAGGGGGGGGGTGAAACTTTGTCAAGAGTTGAGACTCCTTCTTTCCCTGCGCCTGGCAGTGACTCCTGGCAGCTGTGCCCCTGCTGGGTCGTGTGCGCGGGCAGAGCAGCTCCTGCGAGAGCCCAGGCGCCCGGGGCTGCGTGCGTGGGGCGCGCCAGGGCAGCGGCGGCACACGTGTGTGCGCACACACATGCAGTGCGTGTGGCCCGTCAGGCATGTTGCGCCGAGCCCCGCGCGCGCCAGGGGGCGGGCGCGCTCCCCCCCTCCCTCCCGCGGGGCGCTCACCTCCATCCCCGTAGGTCTCCACGCCGTAGCCGTCCTGCAGCCCGTTGCTCCAGGTGCCCTCGTAGCGGGCCGGGGTGGTGAGGCTCTGCCGCACCCCGTAGCGCCCCTTGAAGCCGTGGGACCACTCGCCCCGGTACATCCACCTGCCCTTGGTCTCCACGCCCAGCCCGTGGCGCTTGCCCTGCGCCCAGTAGCCCTGGTAGGTGTTGCCGCTGGGCCAGGTGTAGCCGCCCACCACCTCGAAGCCGTGGGACCAGGAGCCCGCGTACTCGCCCTGCCCCTTGGGCCCGGTGCAGATGCCGTGCCCGTGGGCTTTGCCCTCCTCCCAGCCGCCGCAGTAGGTGCCGCCATCGTCGAAGTCGAACCTGCCGCCCGTCATTCAGGGGAGCGCGGGGCGAGCTCGGCTCCTTCCGTCCGCTGCTGCTGCTGCTGCTGCCGCCGCCACCGCCGGGCTCCGGGCGCTGCGCTCCCCGCGGCCCCTCCGCTTCCAGCGCCCCGCGCGGCAGGACTGCCAGGGCTCCTCCGCCGGCGCCCCGGAGCTCGGCGCCGGCACCGCCCCCCGCCCCTCCCCCGCAGCCCGCCCCTTCTCCGCTCACACACCCGCGGGCGGCGGTGGGGGCAGGAGCCGGGCGCGTGGACCCTTCTGGGGGTGCCGGGCTCCTGCCCCCGCCCCTGTGGGTGTAGGGGTGAGCCGAGCGTGCTGGAGGCGCGTGTGGGGTGAGCCGAGCGTGCTGGAGGCGCGTGTAGGGTGAGCTCTGCTTAGGTGCCAGCGTTCCCCTGTGCAGGTGCGTTGGGCACACAGAGAGCAGTGCGGGATGGGTGCCTGTAGGCGAGTGTCTGTGCGCGAGCATCGGGCTATGCAGGGGTGTATGCTGGCTGCAAGCACAGTATGTGGGAGAATACAGCTGTGGCTCTCTGCGAAGATTTGTAGGTATGTTGTAATATAGCTTTGTAGTTATATAGCTGCCTGTGGAAAGGACACAATGTGTGTTTGGAAGTGTGTGTGTGGGGTGCATATGTGACTGCAAATGTTTACATATGTGTGTTTTCATAGATAATGCACAAAGAGGATTCTGGGGGCAGCCTCTCTGTCTTGCAGGTGGTAGCAGTGCCCCCCTTTAGAGAATGGTTTAACTTTACCAACATGCTCAAACATCTTCCAAGTTTATAATTCTTCTTTTGCACTTCTCAGAGCTTTAGGTGTGGTCCCAGGAGCTAATGTTGTCTGAGTAAAGCTGAGCTGTGTTGTGGTACTTTATCTCATCCTAAACAGCATAGAAAACCCACCCTCACTGCAGTGCTAATGAACACTGTGCCAAACTGACAATAGTTGCAGGAAGTAAGGTCTAGGCATATGGGGCACAGGATACTGTAGTTGTATTTGTGATCTTTCAAAGACATAATGGTGGTCACCTTTTAAGAAGTCTCATTATGCCTTTAACTTGATGGCCTTTGGATGGCTGGATAGCTTCAAGTACTGCCAAGCACTCTTCACCAGACATTTGGTAATCAGATAAAAATATAAGGGAAGTGACAGGAGGTGGCACAGAAACACTGGACAAGATTTAGTGGAGAAGAAACTGGAAATTGTGGTTGGTCATAGCTCAGAACTGCAGGGATTAATATTTTCTGAAACCTTAGTTTCACATTCTTTTAAAATGTTCTTTCAACCCATCTGTAACTTTAAAGCAAACTTTTCACTGCAACGGGTGTTTCGGGAGGGGGAGAGTACATATACATCTCATAATTTCCTCAATTTCATCTTCTGTGATATGTGACCTCCTACGCTGATAGAGCAGAATTTAAAAAAAAAAGTGGTTTGATTGGGGGCTTGGATCAGTGTTCACGTCACAGTCCCCCCATCAGTACCTGGCCCAAACTGGGGAAGCTAATGATCCAACCAGCAGACCAAATTCAGTGATGAATCCTGGTCATGTGCCACCTGAGGGCATGTTGCGCATATGCTAAGAAGAAGTGTTTTGGTCAAGCAACGTCTAAAATAAATTAATAGAAACTACAGATTATTATAAGCAAAAACCTTATTAATGCAAGGTGAAAAAAATGGAGAAAAAAATCAGGAAATGAAAGAGTAACAACCATGACATATACATTAAGCTAAATTCAGCCCAGGAGTAAGCCAGTGTAGCTCCATTTTCTTAAGTCTATACTAACTGAAAATACTGCACCTATATAATGTTGCTGAGTTAAATATTCAGGCTTTCTTTCACAAATTTACAACCTTATGGTTGTACTGAGTTGCACAATTGTAATGCAATTTCACAAGTAATTATGAATGAATATAATTGTTTCTAACTTAAATATTTTTGTCTAACTTATCAGAGGTCTGTAAAAAGCAACAGAGGGTCCTGTGGTACCTTTGAGACTAACAGAAGTATTGGGAGCATAAGCTTTCGTGGGTAAGAACCTCACTTCTTCAGATGCAAGTAATGGAAATCTCCAAAGGCAGGTATAAATCAGTATGGAGCTCCCAATACTTCTGTTAGTCTCAAAGGTGCCACAGGACCCTCTGTTGCTTTTTACAGATTCAGAGTAACACGGCTACCCCTCTGATACTTTATCAGAGATCTGTTTCTTACTGAGGACTAGATACCTGTGACATTTCAAGCTGTAAAATTCAGCTATGGCTTTAATCAACAAAAAGTGGTGGGGGTTTTTTATCATTCATGTACTGGGGACTATAATTATTACATAGTGCCATAAGAGTACACTTGGCTCTTGAATCACAGAAGAAAAGGTCCCTTCTGCAAGGAGGTTACAGAGTACTATAGAGTGATAATATAGTAAGTAAAGACCTTAAACTATGGAAGCTGGCGAACAGTGGTGACCAATTTACAGGTGATAGCATGCAAACCATTATTAATGCTAGTAGTCTGAAATCAGTGGGACTACTTGTATAAGGAATTTTTGCATTAGTAAAAATTGGGCACTTAGGCCCTGATTCAGCAAGGAATTTAAGCATGCATCTAAGTTCAAGCATTTGAGTAGTCCCCCTACTCATGTGCTTAGAGTTAAGTACCTGCTTAAGTGCTTTGCCAGAGTAGGGCCAGAGAGCTCAGCACTTTGCAGGATCAAACACCTAGGATCCAGTTAAGCAAAATATTTAAATACATTCTTAAATGCTTTGCAGAACAGGTATGGACTGCTGAATCAGGGCTTATGTGAGCAGTTTAAAACCTTTGTGATCATCAAAGCTGTATTGCCACATGGAGCCAGATCCTTGGCTGTGGCTGAGTAGTACACAGCACAGGTTGTGGACACCAGGGGATGGGAGGAAAGGAGTAAAAGTGGTATGAAAGCCTTTATATGAGAAAACTCAAAGACAAGTGGAAAATTCTTTCCTGGCTCCATGGTGGCAGACATCATTTTTGTTATCCAAGTTAATAAATTTACACATATATATTTAGTTATGACTATATTTAACACAATTGAATGATGTCTGTTTGCTGTAGACAGGAACATATCACTTTGTACAAATTGAATATCACATAGATTAGTCACAAAAGTGTTACTGTGTATGCTGGCCTGTCAACACCATAGGATTTTCTGCAAAAAGAGAAAAAACGACAAATGTTATTAATACGTTCAGGAATTTGATGGGGGTGCTTACCCCACACAAGATCTAAAGAGGTTGAAATGGCTAGGCAGGCCAATTAACTGCCCAGGATGCACCTGAAGAAGGAGACAGGGAGCAGGCCACTAATTGGAAATGAGCTCAGTTGGGCAGGAACAGAAGGAGCCTCTATAAAGCCCAGGAACTATAAGCAGCAAGGGGGCTGCAAGGAAGTAGTGTACAGTCACTCTGTGAGATGGGAACTTGGGCCGGCAAACCCAGAAAGAGGGAGAAGCTAGAGAGGTAGGAAGAAGCCCAGGAAAACAGCAGCAAGGGGTAGCCTGTACAGACCTTGGCTGCTTGTTATAGGGTTCCTGGGCTGGAACCCAATGTAGAGGGCAGGGCAGGGTTCTCCTACCCATCACTGAGGAGTGGCATAGAGCACTGGACACACCAGCCAGAAAGCTGGTCCAGTAGGACTTTGACTACCCTGGAAGGGGAGGATCTTAGTGACTTGAGGGCCAAGCCATGAATAGGAAGCTGCAGTTCAGGGAGGGGCCGTAGGGTGAAAGAGATGACTTAGAGAGGGCCTTGTAAGAAATGTAGTCAGGAGGTCAAGGGACATATTCCTTGAAAGTATTGATATGGAGACGTTTCCTCAGCCTTGGACTATCTAACTACAGAGGACTGCTGTCACACCACCAAGGGAGAAGGATATGGCTCTCACAGGGAGCTCACTGGCAGCTGGTTACTTCTGGCAGCAGGCAGTGCTCCACCCCTACTCCCAACCCACCCACCATGGTGATGGAAAGTCGATATGCTGCCCTCGCAACGAATGATGAGGAATCATCCCCAAAAGTGGAGGAGGAGAAGCCATGTACCTCCAAGGCTGGGAAGATTGCAGCCACCACTCCCAGGAGGAAACCTAGGGTAGTGGTGGTTGGTGACTCTCTTCTGAGGGGGACAGAGGCACCCATCTGTTGCCCTGTCCTGGCATCCTGAGAGGTATGCTGCCTGCCAGGGGGCTGTATCTGAAACATTACAGAGGGATTGTGGAGGGTCATCCAGCCCTTTGACTACTACCCTATGCTACTCATCCATATGGGCACTAATGATACTGCAAGGTCTGACCCTCAGCAGATCAGAAGTGACTACAGGGTTCTGGGAGTTGGGAGCACAGGTGGTGTTCTCTTCGATTCTTCCGGTCAAGGGTAGGGGCTCAGGCAGAGACAGATGGTGTCGCCAGGAGGGCTTCAGCTTCCTTGACTACAGGATGCTGTTCCAGGAAGAAGGACTGCTAAGCTGAGATGGGGCCCACCTATCGAGGAAGGGGAAGAGAATATTTGGATACAGACTGGCTAACCTAGTGAGGAGGGCTTTAAACTCGGTTCGAAGGCAGGTGATCAAAGCCCACAGGTAAGACAAAACATGGAGACCTGGGAGAAGGGTCGGAATTTGGGGGGAGCATGGGCTGTTATAGCAGGGATAAGAGAGAGATGACAGAAGGGCAGGTGGCGGGGAAATCAAATCAGTATTTTAAATGTCTGTATACTAATGTGAGAAGTATGGGGAATAAGTAGGAAGAACTTGAAATGCTTGTAAATAAACACAACTATGACATAGTTGGCATCACAGAGACTTGGTGGGATAATACATATGACTGGAATATTGGTATAGAAGGGTACAACTTGCTCGGGAAGGACAGGCAGGGAAAAAAAGGAAGAGGTGTTGCCTTATATATTAAAAATGTATACACTTGGACTGAGGTTGAGATGGAAATAGGAGACAGACTTTTTGAAAGTCTCTGGTTAAGGAAAAAAGAGGTAAAAAAAGACTGATATCATGATAGGGGTCTATTACAGACCATCTAACCAGGAAGAAGAGGTGGATGAGGCTTTTTTTAAACTAACAAAATTATCCAAAGCACAGGACTTGGTGGTGATGGGGGACTTCAGCTACTAAGACATCTGTTGG